AAGGGACATTTCAAATTTGAAACGTGGGCCGCGATGTAATGTAATTGGATAAGAAAAATCAAATGACATGAGTTTGTAGGTTTTCAGACTAATGAATATAGTCACTGTTAAGCAGTTCATATCGAGAAACATCAATAGGACACGTAAACACGTAATATTATTTTATTTTTTTAATTTACAAAAGTTTTTTATCGCACGGCAGGGTAAATATTCATAAATACGTGTGGGAATTAATATTGTTATAACTCATTTGCAAATTAAACTTTACAATTCAGTACTATTGTAATTATTAATATTTTTTCATAATAAGCTAGTAAGCACCGTGCGCAAGCTTAATATCTATTTTCACATAGTAACATTATACTTTTTGACATTTAAGTCGAAAATTGCACTTGGGTTAAAAAAAAAAAAAGGCAACGGTCGCGAAGTGCATTTAGGTTAGGGTAACAATTAATAGTACTTGTGAATAATTAGTAGTAATATTGGGTTTGAGAAAAATGTTAGGAACAAATAAAATCATTTTATCAACACCTAAATACACAGAAAAATATTATATTATAAAAATACCTTAACATATACATACGATTTTATTATAACCATAATTTTGTCGAACAATAATAGAAAGATTTTTTGATCCTAAAGATTGGTTAATGAATTTAATTAATAAATGCAATACCATTAGGTACTTTATTATGGAGGTATAAATATGATGTTGTATTTGACCCGAGTGCGGTTCGACCGTTACCTGTATCTGACCCGAGTGCAATGCGACTGTTTAAATTTAGGCAAGAAATGCAATTATTTGATTGTTCCGAAACGTTTACGTATGGATTTGGATTGTCACACATATCACAGTTGCACGGTTACTCGGTTGCCATCGTATTCCAGATAAAACTTATTTTAATGTTACGATTTCGCGTGTTAAGTACAAAATCTATCCGGCAGACATATTTTTCCTTGATTTTTTCGAATTTTAGAATTTACCGATAACACGTACTGTATACACTCGATTAGAGGTGGGGTAGGGAGTAGGAATAAATGCATTGCTCGGATCCTTTTATTTTTCCGCGAATCTCGTAATAAATCACTGCGCATGTCTGTACTCGGGGCAAAGAGGAGCACGCGTACAGTAATTAATGTCCGATAATTAGGTTTCATTAACGGGGCTCGCTCGTTCGGTCGCCGACCGCCGTCGGCGGTGGTCCGCACACGATCGCGGCAGCGAAAACAGCAGAAGCCGCAGCGGTAGCCGCGTGTGGTTATTTTTTTTCAATTAAAAACCGTCGCAGCTAGACCTACGTGTATAATAACATTATTAATAACGTTCACGGGCATGGAGCCGATCAGTGCGAAGGGGCTCGGCAAAAATAAAAAATAAAAAATAAAAAATCGATTTCGTAACATTATATCCGAACCACGGTATAAAAGGCGGTACCGTCGAAAAACGCGTCTTTGGCGCCCGTTCTCTCGTAACATTGTACACGAACTATTATTATCGTTATTATTATTATTATCATCATCATCATCATCATCATCATCGTAAACGATTTTTCTCCTTCATTTTATCGGGGTTTTTTTTTTTTTTTTTTTTAATTATCATTGTGCCTCGGACCCGGAGAACAATCGTACTCTATTGTTAAACGATTTCACATCAGTCAGGTTAGTCGCGCGCGTATACGCGAGATACGTATTTAAATACAATAAGGATTCATTATCATTTCACGGTCGTCGCGGGCGGCTGGAGGTGGAGAGGGACCCCGAGCCGCTGTCCCCTCGGATGTACGGTTTATTATGTATACGCTCGGCGTTGCCGTAATACGTGCATTATGTATATTACGCGCGTTGTCGTGTACGCGCCCGCGGCCTGCGGGAACGGTCCGGTGCCACGTCGGATCGAAACCCAGAATCGCGTTCGTACGGCGTCCGTCGATCCCTCGCGGTCGGCATCGTGCGCGCGTAACGGTGGTACGAGATGAAAAACGTTAAAATGGTAAAGGCAGAAAGGAAAAAAAAACCGAGAAAAAGCCCACCGTCGCAAAGTTCCGCGCCCGTGCGTACCGTCGTTGTTATTGTCCGAGTACGTGTACACGCGGATCACAACGCTGAGCGCATACGCTCGTCCGAGGCCCGTGAGAACGTACCGTCGGTCGTTAGGCGCGTTGTACCCGCGCGCGGAACGTCCGTCACTGTCCGCGTCCGAGAGCGTCGTCGACATGCCGTACGCACCGTCCGTCCGTCCGTGACCCGCTTCGCGCCCAGTAGTGCTCCGCACGGTCCGGCCCTAATCGGTCCGGTCTAGTACGGTCCTGACATACGAAAACTATTGAACCGCCGGTTTGGTCCGGTTCTATAATTTCTACGTGTACTTCGGTCCAGTTCTTAGATCAAATGCGTTATCTTCAGTCCGGTCCGGTCTCAGTCCCGTACCAATCAATCTAAGTACAGATATTGTAGTCCGGTCCAGTGTATTACTAAACGCATCATATGGTACGGTCTGGGCTAATACGGACTAAACTTTACGGACCGGTCCGTAAACGGTCCAAAATGTTTTAAGATCGGACCGACAGTCCGGTCCACGGTCTACTTTATTAAATGTTCTTTTAATGACTGGTCCGGTCTGTATCCTTAAAATACCGAACCATGAAGAGAACTAATGCCCAAGAGTGTTCTCATGTTTTTTTTGAGAGTATACTGTGTCATTACGTACCACAACACGGAATTTTAATACAATACAAATAATTATCTTTCAGTCAAATCGAATTGTTTTAAATATTTTCTTATATTTTATATCATAAGTTACATATATATAAAAGCAGTGATGTATTGCTAAAATAAAGGAAGGAATATATTTAGAAAAATTAGTCGTTTTACATAGAGATAATTTATTTTAATAGGAGAGATTTTTTAAAATGAGTTCTTACTAAGCATAGATATGATAAGAAATATAAATACCTTGGTTATTATTATTTATTACTTAAGAAAGGAAAAGAAAATATAAAGATTTTCTTTTTATATTCCATTACAATTTCATTAATTTTGTATATACGAATACGTATTGATAAATTTTTAATTCGAAACCGTTTATGCTTCACAAATATAACAATAAATCCAGGCTAAGATTTATTTATTTATTTATCAGAAACTTCTATAACTATCATTTTCGGTGTATGTTTAATACGGAACTATAAAAATTTTATAAAATGTTAAATGAATATTTAATATTAGGATGTGTAGACAATTTTAGGATCTATGTAATCAATAAGCAGATATGATTCAACTCTGTTTTTACATCGCATATTTATCTTCATATTATACACATAAAGTATTATTAAAAACCACGAACTTAGTTAATAAACTGACATTATTCTACTGATTGATAATCATCAATTAAAATTAACAATAATATGAATCATAATAAAAAATTCGTTTCACAATAAATATAATTTGATTGATTTAATTTATATTTGTTTTTTATATAATGAATAAACAAAAAAGGTATAAAAAATGTTGCATACATGATAATTTAATATTATATACATTTTAGATTTTTATTATATGATTATAAAACACAATACTATTGTTTATTTATTTAAACAAATTTTACATATCATTTCAATGTTTACGGGAAGACCCAAACACATGTCATTCTATAGGCAGGGTTAAACCGTGAAATTTTAAAAAAAGAATATGAATAAACTAATCTTAGACTTCATAGAGACAATGATAAATATTCTGATCAATATGTTTTTATGTATAAAATTTGAAAAATAAATGCAAGAAACCAAAAATCAATCCCTTATTGTTAAACTTCAACCTTTTTGAGGCACGTGATAGGGTGGACTAATCACACTGAAAATTTATCAAAATTATTTTTAGAACGCACCGAACAAAATTCCGACCCCGTCAGTTTAAATATTTGATATTTTTTTTAAGTTCTATAAATACGATCACCCTAGTAAATATAGCATACCTACATTAGATTTATATAATTTTTAATATTTAACAAATGCCTTATATATTTATAATTGAATGTAATTATTTTACTGTAACACCCAAAAACATTTTTCTAATCAGCAAGATTGGTCGTTAAAAGACAATTACAATATTCAGTAATACAGTTACAATCTATAGTTTTCAAATTTTTTAATTTGCTCAATTTTTTTTTTTTTTTAATTTTATTCGTTAATTTTTAGGAACTAAGTATATTTTAAGCTTTAAGTTTACTAATACTTAAATTACCTTTAAGAGACACTTATTTACGAGTTCTTATTAATTTTAGCATGGACCATTTAATATATGAAATGTATATTAATAATAAATTTTAAGCACTCATTCATATTTAATACGCCGACACGTATGATCAATTATAATAATATTTAAGAATTAATAAATATATTCTAAAAATGCTTTAAAAAGTTAAAAAAATGCCATAAAAAAAGCAAAATATGCCCTAAAAATGCATTCAAAGTTAAATTTGCCATAATATGCAAAAAAAAACTGCAAAATAAAAACTACATTAAATTTATCAGTATCACTTGAAAAACATTTTCTCTTTAGGGACCTACGTGTTGAGGCATTAAAAAAAAAAAGATGCATTTGCATCAAAATCCCAGTCCTAATTATAATATGTATAATTGTCATAATACGTATAATATCTTATAAAACGATAAATGTATGCATGTTATCGTATCGATATGTATATATTATATAGCGAGGTATATAAAATAAATAAAATTTGTATAATGTATATTATTGGTTTTGTTACAGATTGTATAATGTAAATTTTTTTTTCGCCGCAGTTTAAAAATTTATTTATTTATCTAATTATCCCACTAGTTTACTAATACTTTTAAAAAAATATATTAGTAAACTAGTAATTAAATATTTATTATTTATATTTATTTATTATATCCATAATGAGAAAAGAAAATCGGACAGAATATAAACCAACGACAGCTTTATTTAAAATTTGTATCAAAAACACCAATTCTAACGAACATTTATTTACTACGGCTAAAATACTGATCGAGAGTCATTCGGTTGGCTGGCCCTCCCCACAGCACCGCGAATATTTTGCGTTCCATCAATGTAGCCGCTCTTCGGTTGGCTCCGTCACCGTGACACGATAATGTCCGCTTGATGGCTCGGATCACATTCACGTGGTGTCTGTTCTTCCGCGACAGCCAGTCCGTGGCATCTTGCAAAGTGGCCGCCGTACCGTCCACCAGGCCAATGTCCATCACCTCGGCTGCCCTCAGCGGCCGGTTGTCCAGCAACAAGTTCAGCGTATTCTGACGACCTGTAATCAACATCAGTCGGTCCGTCAAGCCCCACGTGGGTACTATGCCCATTTTTGCGTGAATAAACCCAATAGCCGTGGTATCCACCTTGGTGCTCATCAGCCTGTAATCACATGCCGTGATCAGCTCCGCTCTTCCGCCTAAGGTACCTGTATAAATTTCGAGTTTCCTTTTTTTTTCTTTTTTAATCGTTTTTATTAAGTTTTATTTTCTGTATAATTCATCATTAACCGAGTTCGACCAAAATTATTAAAAATTATTATCTATCTATACATATAAAATCCAAATATCACTTACTCACTGATCGCTGTATCTCAAAAACTAGGGGCGTATTTAGGGTTGTAAAACAGGGGGGGGGCTAAATCCCTATGAAAATTACAAACAAAATTTTTACTTTTAGTTATAACCTACAATTGTTTTATATTATTATTTGTTTATTTATAATTTAAGTAACACTATTTAATTAAGACTTTTTAGTTTATTCAATTAAACATAATTTATTAATAAGTACAAATTTGAATACAACATTACAATTCACAATGTATTCATTGTGAAAAAGTTATTATAAAAGTTATTATTAAACAATTTCTCAAATAGAATAAAATATTAAATTAACAGCATTTAAAACAAAGTTATTATATTATAGATTTCTTTTTGGTTTTTTTTAAGTACAATATTAACAAAAAATATATATATACAATGGTAATATTTTGTCATTAGATTTAAAATGTAGTCATACAAATTACATTACATAATATTACAATTTTAATTTTCTTGGCTTTTTAGCAAACTCATCAAACATTTTTTCTGCGAATATGCGATAAACAAAATATGAATAAAATAAAAAACATACAGTAACAAAAAGAAAAAAATGTGTATAAACGACCCATCATTATTTATTAAAATTAATAACCGTAAGTTTCAATATTACCAATGTACTATCATTATGTGTCCATCGTATTTACACGTGATACCCATACTGTTTCATTAATATTAATAGATTTAAATCGAGGCCTTTAAAGATAAAATGAAAATTGATAACTTATTGTTTTCAATAGTATTTTTATCACAACGTTAATTATCACATTTCTAGAAATTGTAATGTCAACATTTATGTAATTATATACGAATGGTAGATATTTTAACCCAAATTTAATTAACTATTGTAGATTATTAGTATAATAAACATTTTTCATTGTTCTTATTAAACGTTAATATTGTAAATTGATAGATTAACAAAAATTCTAAAATATTAATTTTTTTTTTATTATTATTGACCCTTAATTTTATATATAGAAATAAATAAATGCTTATTCTGGAGTATTATTATATTTATAACATACAACCAGTTTTTAATTCAAAATTCATCATCAAGTAAATATAATTTCAATAAAATCATGCCTTTATTTATTTTTTTATTTTTATCAATACTGGGAATTAACGAGTTTAACATTGAGGTAGGTAAGTTTTTTAAACTTACATAAAGAGTAACTTTTTTTTAGAGAACTTCTAATTGAATGAAGTACTTCTTTTTAAAGTAACTTCTTACTTAACGAGTTAATTTATTTTTTGTTAAACTGTTTCACACGTTTCTTGGATTTCACTAATTATCAAAATAATAGGTATATATAAATACAAGTATCTATTGCCTAGTACAACTTACATAATAAAAATGTATGTATGAATGTGAAACGACTTATAAATATGTATATACTATATGGTGTTAAGTTATTATAAGTTATAAATAATAATTTACAGATATTAACAAAAAAGGCCTTAGGTTTAATCATTACAGAGAAAAAAATGTATATATTATACTAACTGAGTACTATGTATAATAAACTCGTTTTCGACCAGGAGATATTATTTATGAAAAAAATTTTAAAAGTAAAATATTTAAATTACAAATTAAACTGTTTAAATTCTAATTCATATTGTGATACCACAACAAAAAAAAATTATACAATCGACTATCGAGAAATTGTAGTAGCAAGGTTATTGATGTTTTAAAGTTAATCGGAATGTTACAAAACGTTCCATATCATCGTTTTATTATTGTTATCAATTACATTACGAATAATATTCATATTTCATATCAATCAGCCATTTCGCGTGTTCAAGGTAGACCATTTTTTTGCATGCAGAATTTTTAAAAATATCAAAAAAATTTAGGGGGAGGGGTTACAATCCCCAAACACCACCCCAAGTTGCGCCACTGTCCGTAATATAGTACTATTGTATAATTTCAGTGTATTTAAGTTCCTTGTAAGTATTATTGAAGCTCAAATTTTCAAGTTAAGTTTATGCGGAGGAAGACCTGATGGATTTAAAGAATTCAAAAATTAAATTGGAATATCAGTAGCATTGTTGTTATTATTATTTTTATCACTGTTATTGTTATGGCTGTTTTCATTAATGTCATTGTTGGTAGTATTATTATTTTCATCCTTAACTATATTTTGATCGTGAATTTGTGAATGATAGTTAGCACTGTTTGTGGAGCGACCAAGGTTTGATCTCCTCTTCATGGGTATTATACAACCAATACAACAACAATTCTTCAAAATTAACAACTAAAACAAATCCACATAAAAACAAAACTTCCAATGAAAAAATCAAAGAACACAATCAATTAGAACTAAAAGCCAACAAACGAAAATATAGATAATACAAATGTTATTACCAACTAACTCTGGTACACCCAGTGATGTATTGCTAAAATAAATCATGGGTATGCGCCTTATTTCATGTAGTAACTATCATATGGTAGGAACCAAAAAAACTCATTCGTGAACTTCACATCCTTAATTATGACTGTTTGATAACAGAAATATGTTGTTAAATGATAACAAATTTGAATTTTTCATTAAAAAAAAAAAAGAAAAATAATAATAATAATATATCCGATACTGAATCACGTTATAAATATAACCACAAGTTAGGTTAGTCAAGGTATTATGTAGTTATTTTTCAAATTACAAGCTATACGCTATATACGGCCGTATACCCGCGTATCATCAATTTCTCATAAGCTATACGCCAAGGATAAAAATAGCGTATTGGTTATATGCCGTATACCCTCCAATACACCACTGTGTTCTATTAAATATACCTTTATGTATGCAAACATAAGGTAGGTGTTTAGATGTGGCTACTCTAGTTCTCTAGTTCTCAGTTCCGATGAAATGTTTGGTTCCAGTCTACCACTGATTACTGTAGATGAATAGTGTATAATATTTCGGCTATCGGTATAATTATGAACTTACCTTATCACGGGGAAAATGTGATTTCAAAAATAAACTACATTTACTTTCGAGGCATTATCTGAGTAACCAAAGTTTTCATCATTAAAAATAATTACGATATACAATAAGCCAACAAAATTTAGATGCTCTGGGAATATTATAAATTGAAAATGATATAACAGCAAACCTGAGTTTTGATGATGTTATAACCACTTTTCAGAGCAGAAAGCGAAGAAATGTTTGTGAAAGCTCAAATCAAATTATTTTTTCAACTTTTACATTACACTTAAAAAACATTTAGTTTGATATATAAGTGCGATAATCAAAAATACTATTTATTTTTAAATGTTCGCTTTTTATTTTTATGCTTGGATAAATATTAAACATTAATTAAACGCATTGAAAGTGTAAAGTTTTCTTGTTTATTAAATAATCATATTTTTAACAATACCATTTTATTCCATTATCCAACTATTTATATATAAATAACTGATTATTACATACAATATTAATTTAAAAATATATTATGCATACATTTATTTTAGCATTAAAGAAAACAGAGATGGATAATTTGGGCCCAAAATTGTGAATTGTAGTAGGCTCATTGAGTTGGTTAATCAGGTCCTGGTTGTTAGCCTTTATTTAAAGACCTATGTAGGGCGATGTGTTTCCCTAAATGTTTTGGAAAAGCGCGAAGCGTTAAAGTCGCTCAATTCGCATAGACGACATGACAATAATGGGTGCGATTCGTTCGCAATGAATATCCCTGCTTCGCTCGGTCGGTGATCGGGACGCTCCGTGGCGCAGTAAAACTCGTTTCCTGCTCGGTCACGCACGTACGTGTACAACTTTAGGGCTGCCAGTGATCTACGTTCACAGTGGCACACGATAATTCCGTCCGATCCGGTCGGTGCAGTTCAACACAGTTCCGACTGTCGTTTATCTCCTCTCCTTTCCGTCAACGCCGTTTACGCGTGCAACGATATCGCGTAGGTTTTCGCGCGTGCGACGGGACACAAGTATTCCACCCGTTCCGTTGCCGCGGACAGCAGCAGGACTGGCGACGATTACCAGAAGAGATCGAGCACCGCACGGGCCGGATCGTGTGCGAGATCCGTAGCGCGCGCCGAAAACTGCGGTCGGCGCGATACGATCTCGAAAACTTGTCACCGTCTAACCGTGCCCTAACCTAATCCGGCGACGTTCTTACGCGTGTGCGCGGTTCTCGCCGTAACCGCGGTAGCGTGTCGTGCACACCGTGACCTAACACGGTTACCGGGACCGTGTGCCACACGGTGTGCACCGTCGTCGTGGACGGACCTGCGCTCCGCGTCACCGTTCGACCTCGTCGGACGTCGCTAAAAATTTTTATGAAAAAAAATAAAATAAAACGCTTTCCAATTCACACGTATCCGACCGCGCACCGTTCATAAGTGCTTTGGCGCCAGTCTACGCGACGCGGCTTGGCCAGCGATCATAACGCTCGTCCCTCGACGACGACGCGTCAAAAAATTGTCGGCTCTTCGTACACGCGTATAAATTATCCGAGTCCTCCTTGTGTGGCTTCATTTTTGTTTTTAATGTCCGACCGGACACCACCTGAACGACTACTCGTAAAACGAAACACCTCTAAACCGCTTCCGCAATAAAAATGAAGCGTTATTCCGTGGAAAAAAAAATATATCGTAACGCACGGGCACTAAGCCGCACAGGTGTAGTACGGTTCTTATCTAAATATTACTTTATTCCGAAAATAAAATATTACTGTTTATTTATTAGCCTGATAAGACTGTTAAAACGACGCTCCGACGGTGGTCGAAGATATTATTATTATTATTTTTTTTTTTACTTTAATAAAATCGTTTTCCGAACCGGAATGATTTGTCAGTGGGTATATCGTCGTT